GTTCGGAAGGGGGTATCGGTGCGTTGATGCGGTGCAAATATTAAACGGTGGGAAAAGTGACGGCAGTTTTTATATGTATAACGATATCTCAAACATACCGCCCACCTGAAGGCACCTGGCCTTCACAATACGAGTGGTAAGCGACACAATTTTACTACCGGACGTTTGATCACCGTTCGATTTGCAGTTCGAACTGTAGCCACGCGTACAATATTATCTTCTCCTGGGTGTACTTCTATCACCCGTGCAGTCTTCCAGGTAAGAGGTGGTGTCGGCTCTTTAATAATTACTAGGTCCCCAGGTTCAAGGTTGCATTGGTCTTTGCCCCATTTTGAGCGAACTGATATTGTGTGCAGATATTCTTTTGACCATCGGTCCCAGAAATGTTTTTGTATGTGTTGCACAAGTGTCCATCGTTGGTGTAACGTAAGTCTAGGTCCCGGGTATAGTGGATCTGGGACTGGGACAGTTACAAGGGGTTCCATCGTGAGAAAATGTCCAGCAGTGAGTGTTTGAAGATCGTTTGGATCTGACGACATTGCTCCTAATGGACGTGAATTGAGAATTGCTTCTATGCGGTGGAAAACGGTGTTCAGTTCTTCATAGGTCAATACCTGCTCCTGAATTGTGCGGCGTAACAGGGTCTTGGCGGATTTAACGGCCGCTTCCCACAATCCGCCCATATGCGGTGCAGCTGGGGGATTCAGGTGCCATTGAATGTGCGCATTGCTTATACCCGCGGTTATTTCGGAGGAGCTGAGGAGCCGTTTGACGTCTTCCATGTAGTTTTTCGTTCCTACAAAGTTAGTTCCGCAATCACTGTACAGATCGGTGCATCTACCACGGCGACTGACGAAGCGGTTAAGAGCGGCCAGAAAGAGTGTGGTAGATAAATCACTTACCAACTCTAAGTGTACTGCGCGGGTGGCCATGCAAACGAAAATACATAAGTAACCCTTGGTTGTCTGTACACGTCGGAGTAAGGCAGCCTTTACCAAAAACGGTCCGGCGAAATCCACTCCTACGTGTGTAAAAACCTTAGTTCCGACTAGTCGTGGTCGGGGTAAATCTCCCATGCTCGGTTGCATCGGTTCTGGTCTGGTGCGGAAACAGGGTATGCACTGGCGGAGACGTTTGCGAATGGCACCTCGGGCCGCTATTATCCAAAACTTTTGGTGCAAAATATTTTGGGTGGTTTGCGCCCCAGGATGACAATGCAGGCGGTGAATGTAATCAATGAGTAGGACAGTTAATGGAGATTGTTTTGGTAACAGGATGGGATGCTTTGTCTCATATGGAAGGTCGGAGGACCGGAGGCGACCGCCCACCCTGAGAAGACCCTCTTCCGAATCTAGATATGTTCCAAGTAATCTCAGTTTATTGGTACAAGGCTCTCCTGCTGTGAGACGTCTCAAATCTTCTCCGAAATGTACCTTTTGGACCCATCGTATCAGGGCGTGCAATGCTTCTTCCTTTTCCTTTGCTCCTGGTGGTTTGGAATGATCAAAGGAGATGAGTCGGTGTGACAGATTTCTTCGGAATCGTAACCAGTAGGCGGTGAGACGTAGAACTTTCGGAAGTTCTGCTGATGCATACAATAGTTGACATTCCTCTACGGGCTTAGTGATTAAAAGAGCAAGTTGTTTCTCCTCGGCTTGATGTTCCATCTTATCCAGGCACGTGATAGGTGTCACCGGAGGCCAGGTATTTGTTGGTTGGGTGAGAAATACTGAGCCGCCCCACCAAATCTGATGGTCCACTAGCTCTTTTGGGGTTACACCTCGGGACGCACAGTCTGCAGGGTTGTGCGCTGTAGGTACGTGTCTCCAAATCTTCGGGGACGTCATGTGCTGAATTTTGGCAACTCGATTTGCCACAAACGTCTTGAGTTTTGCTGTAGGTGTCTGAATCCAAGCCAAGACTACGGTTGAATCGGACCATGCAGTCGTGGCTTCAATCGGAATGGCATTTAGGTTGGTACTGATATGTTCCAGACAGCGAGCAAGTAATAACGCCCCACATAATTCGAGTCGTGGAATTGAAAGCCTTTTTTCCGGAGCCACCTTAGACTTTCCCATTAACAGTTGGCAGTGACTGATGTCATTTGGTTCTCGCGCTAAAAGATATACCGCGGCGGCGTAAGCGTTTTCTGAGCTATCGCAAAATCCATGGATTTCATACGTAGCTCCAGGTGTAGTTGCTCGACGTCGTATTCGAATAGATCCAATTAGTGGCAATTCTTCGTGGTAACGTGTCCAAGCATCGATGGCGTCGTCAGGTATTCTCTCATCCCACCCCACCCCAATTGACCACAGATACTTCATCAGTCGTTTGAGATTGGTAATGACTGGAGTGAGGAGGCCAATGGGGTCATAGATTCGGGCTATCTCTGAAAGAATAGCTCGTTTGGTAAAACGCACGGGATTCGGTCGGTATTGGTAGGACAATATATCCAGATTAGGTTCCCAGTTTAGACCGAGAACCTTGGTGTAATCTGACTGCGGTTCATCGAAGGTAAAATTATCGGTTTTACGATGTCCAACCGGAACGGCCTCTAATAATGCGGGTGCATTGCTGGACCACTTGCGGAGCTCAAACTTCCCCCGCTCAAATACTTTTATAACCTCTTGTTGGAGTTTAAGAGCCTCTTCTTCCGAGTCGGCTCCGGTAACGACATCGTCCACGTAGAGGTCTTGATATATGACCTTTTGCACATTAGGGTATGCTTTGGCTTCATCCTCAGCTAATTGATGTAATGTTCTAATTGCAAGGAATGGAGATGATCGTTGGCCAAATGTAACAGTGGACATTTCGTACGTCTGAACAGGGTCCGAGGGCTGGAATCGGAAAAGAAGGCGTTGGTATGGTCTATGTTTTGGAGTGACAACAATCTGCCGGAACATCTGTTTGATATCAGTGGTGAACACTACTGCGTGCAAACGAAAACGTAAAATGATTCCTGGTAGATCCTGTTGAAGTTTGGGCCCCATAAACAAGTAATCATTTAAAGATTTCCCGTTTGAAGATAGGGCTGACGCATCGTAAACAACACGGAGCTTGGTAGTCGTACTTCCGGGTTTCACTACACCGTGGTGTGGTATGTAAAAAGATGTGTTATCAATGCCCTCAGTGTTGTCTACATAACTCATATGTCCGGAGTCTAAATAATCTTGCATGGCCCCGTTATAATCCTGTCTATGATCCGTGGATTTTGAAAGCCTAGATTCCAGATGTAT